GACAGGGCTCTGGACCCATCACAGACCGTGACAGACAGGGCTTTGAAACCATCACAGACCGTGACAGACAGGGTTTTGAACCCATCACAGATCGTGATTGACAGGGCTTTGAACCCATCACAGACCGTGATTGACAGGGCTTTGAACCTATCATAGGCTCTAACAGATGGCCTTTAGGAGCCATCACAGACCGTGATTGACAGGGCTTTGAACCTATCATAGACTCTAACAGATGGCCTTCAGGAGTCATCATAGACTGTGATAGAAGACTTCAAGGAAATATCAGAGATAATGCATAGCTAATATATGATTGGAGCATATATGTAGTATTATCCTGTTCAAGCTCTGTAATGTAAAGTTAGACATGATCAAGAAATGTACGCCAATATGCATAGAAAACAACTGTTTTTAGAACATTGGAAGCAGTAGCTACATCGTGTTTCACATTTTTAATCCCGCAAGGGGTTGCGCTAACAGCTTTTTATGCAATGGTGAAAAAAGTGTATGTAGCTTATCTCAACCAAGAAACCGAACTGCTAAGCAGATATGCTTCCATTCGATGAAAACTTTTTGTTAATCCACATATTACAAGCGGAATATGTCGTCGTCTTCTGTGTATAAATCCTAGTCAATGGAAATCAGTATCAGTACGTCAGTGTTCCAGTGTGCGTCAGTGCAACAAGTGCAGTCAGTGTCAGTGTATGCACTGATTCAGTGAACACCAGTGTCAGTGTATGTACTGATTCAGCGAACATCAGTGTCAGTGTATGTACTGACTCAGTGAACATCAGTGTCAGTGTATGTACTGATTCAGTGAACGCCAGTGTCAGTGTATGTATTGATTCAGTGAACGCCAGTGTCAGTGTATGTACTGATTCAGTGAACACCAGTGTCAGTGTCATCAGTGTACCGGTGAACGCCAGTGTGACTTTATCGGTGATCAGTATACTGAAACTGCACATCCCTATGAATACCACATCTACATCCCCACCCACACCCCAACTTTTCCTGGTAGACTCAAATACTGGTGAAGAGGAACTATCAATGGCACTGTATTGACTGCAACTGAAAGACACCACTTCTGTTCGGGTCGAATTAAAGGTTTTTTGCGAGATTTTAACGAATTAAACATAATACATGCTTGTGACGTATTTTGTGCGACCTCGTCATCTTCTCAGAACCCCACATAGAAATGTATCGAGAATCACTTTTTTACAATTCTATTAACAAAAAATGGTGTTGTTCGAGCCAATCTATCGGTTCTCGGAATGAATCTTTCGTTTAGCACAAGCATGTAAATATTTTCGCTGTAGAATAAGAAAGTTGCATTATTCATGAATCAGCCTGATCACTAAATATGTAACAAATTCATTTCAACTCATCGAGCTGGGTAAAATTTACCTACTTATATCGAATGAGCGAGTTGAGTTTACGTAGCTCAATGAGCTGAAATGAAATCTCTCATATATCTACGGATGAGCATAAATGGTGAATTCTAGCTCGATCCCCACTCCGATACATAGTAAAATCATTTTGGCGAAACCACTGCAGTTTGGCATGATCCGATGGGTTTCGATATCAGTAACTTAATGGATTTTCTCTGGAGACCACCATAATCTAAGGAAGTGATTTCCTATGAATTACTGACGACAGGTATTTATGATTCACATCGGAAACGAACTAATCATTTCGTCGGATTTGATCGTTTCCAGCATCGAAGTTTCGACGAGAAATTAGTAACTCCGATAACAGAATTTTAAAGAAAAGTTATGGAAAGAATCAAAATACATCGGAAAGAAACAAATCCGATCCGACTATTGTGTATCATCGGATTTTGAAGCCTTCCGACAAGATCCGATGCTGCGAGCTTGACCTGGGTGTTTGCTAAAAACTATCGAGTACATTGTGGATATACCTATTTTTAGTTTCTCCGCTTCCAAAGCAATTCATCAGTGATAATGGTGAACATATTTAATACAGTCGCACTGTTACAGATAATTTTCTACTACCAAACGCACATGAACAACGGTTATTGTTTCAGATCTGGTATAAAACCATGTTGTCAAGAAAAAAATTACTTTCATTCAAAGCTAAATTGAAACTATCCATAAATCACAAATTTCTATAAAATACTCTATTGGAATGTGTTAAATCTGGAATAGTTCCAATACAAATGATGAATTTATTCTCGCACGATTCGAAAGTAGTATAATTTATTCTACGAAAGCACTTATTCAACTATATAAATCTTACCTGAATTTTAGAACAAAGGTATACTGCAAGTTCAAATTGATTGAAAAACAAGGCCCACAAAAATAAATTTTCTAGAACACTTGTAGCCAGTTGCTCGTCATCATTTGAATTTGGCGATTTGGAATACTATGATAGTATTTGTTTTCAAATAATTTAATTAGCAAAAATCGACTTGTTTCATACCCCAATCGGACCCAGATACTCCGAGTAATATTGATCTTTATCTTGCAGTTTATCTTTATCTTTAATCGGTAATTGATTGCTAATCTAAAGAAGAGAAAGAAGTATCAAGCCATGGTAAGAATCATTTGTCTTCTGTTTTATTAAATCAATACTCCAATTTTTGTATAGAGTCTTTTCAGATCTCCATGTGTCAATACTTCAAGCTTTGCACCGAATTCAATAAGAAATTTAACATGATCAGTACCACCATGATATAGTGCTTCAACAAGAAGAACACGCAGATTTCCTCGTCTCTAATAAATAAAAATTAAAAGAGAGAATACATGTTGAATTGATAACAAAACCTATCACATACCTTGTAATCAGATCTTCTCTCATTACTAAGATAGTTTTGGGCATAATCGAACCTATGCCAAGCCTACATGAATCAAATAAGAAACATAAGAAGTTTCATTCAACTGATAAGCTTTTCTATAGATTACAATTGCTAATTTAAGTTCTCCTATTGGACTACGTTGTTCTTTCGAATTAATAGAATGTCTTCTAGCTGTTATACAATAGAAAATAAAATATCTTATTTTTTGCTTAAAAGTTAATTAACATTTACCATTAAATAAATATTCTAAAAAGACATTTTCAAAATCGCCATGCGGTTCATTAAGATCGATTTTTAAAGATGTTACAAGATGTTTGCATTGTTTTAATACTTGACGTAGTTCGCCCTCAACGGCATCAAGACCTTTAATTTCACTGCTAGCTGCCTTTACACTTGATTAATAAATAGACAGACTTATTAAAAATAATAATTTTATATTCAAATGAAACTTACATGTCTGTGTCGTTTTCTTTTTTTGAACCTCTTACAGAAGCGCTGATTTGGGGTCTTCTAGAATGTACTCTACTGATGATGTTCTCATGTATTTCACCATCTACAGAACGTGCACTGCTAACTCTATTATGATCTGTTTCATGATCAGAATACCAAGCATGCAATTTAGCAATAAGATCGGCAGCACGACCTGAATCCTTTGAAAATCGAGAATTTTTTTGAAAGAGAAGAAAATTATTCAATTAATTTTTCTATACTTTGAGCACTACAACTGGAGTGTCATGTTTAAGTGCTTCACATACGGTACGAATCGATGATGTACCACGACAACTAAAACCATCACAATAGGTATGAATGATTCTGTAGATCGTTGTGTTGCATTATGTAGATTAATATTTCGTGAACACTGTTCAATTTTTGCTCGCACTGGAATAACAGCATCATGAGTTGTGGTTCCATCATCAAATAATAAAAAATGTGTATGATTTGGTTCTAAATAACATTGACCGGGTTCATTCTTGTGAATGTCATAACTTTGAACAAGATATTGGTCAGTTCTTTCCTAAAGTTAATTTTAGAGAAAAAAAAAGTTATTTTTAAATTTCAGACAAACTCAGCGATAACTAACTACTGTAATAGAATCATGTCTTATTCGATTTATAGTAGACGAAAAAAATCTATGCGGTACATCATGTTCATGTTCAAGCGAATGCCCCTCTAGTGTTGGTTTATCAAGTTGTCTATTTCCTGCTGTATAACCCCAACTTCCAATACCAATACAAGGAACATCAAATCTATGTTTCCCATAATAAGAACAATAATACTTAAGAGCTTCGCCAACTTCTTTGACAACGCCAACATTTATTCCAGCAGTAATTAACCATGCATCTAGTCAATTCAAAATATGCATCGATTATTGATGTCAGAAAAACTATGTTACTCGCTCTAATAGCAGCATCAGCCAAATGCATTGGAAACATTTTTCTGAGTATTGTTGATGCATCAAAATTTTTTGCTCCACCCGTTACAGATATAATTAAATCTGGCTGCTTCAACTTCCAATATTGTGTCATAAATTTCACAACTGTTTCAGCATTTGTTTTAAGACTTAATCTTATATATTCTGAAGGACGTATAGTAGTATCATTCTTATTGACGTTAAATTCAACACAACCATATACATCTGTTAATCCAGCAAATCTAACAGAAAAAAGAATAATCTCTTGAAAGCTTTTATTCATTTGTTTAACAAGCATATTTGTAAACTTACTCTCCATGAGCACAAATTTTTAATTCTGCAATACCCTAAAATATTTAAAACAGAAGTATACATCGTCATACTTTATGTTTATTATTTCTTTTTCTTGCCATTTACCTTTGCGACGTCTGCCTTTCGTTTCTTACGCTCGTCTCCCATATTTAATTACTGTTTCTCGACTAATATGAATATGATGTGTACTTCTTATTAAACTGACTAACACATAAAATCAAAACGATAAAAAATAAATTACGTGTACGTGTAGAAAGTTGAGAAGAATACACGAAAAGACTCAAATAAAAAAATGATATTGTTATCATTATCACCAACGAATCGGAGTAGATAGCAACTATGCTCAGTCCTGATAGTGTTATCACAAAACTAAAGACCCCACAAATATCAAATAGAATTAATTCGCTGATAGGCACTCAGACGCCTCTTTTTTGAGAGGACAGTAATATGCTTGTTTTCATGCATTTTTCAAAAGGAGTTACTTTTTATAACAATGCGTATTTCATAGTTTATTCTTACGTTTATTGTTATAAAGCTGGGTGTGGGTGTGGGTGTGGGGGTGTGGGTGTGGGGTGTGGGTGTGGGTGTGTGAGTATGGGTGTGGGTGTGGGTGTGAGTGGGTGTGGGGTGTGGGTGTGGGTGTGGGTGTGTGAGTGTGGGTGTGGGTGTGGGTGTGGGGGTGGGGGTGTGGGGTGTGGGTGTGGGTGTGTGAGTATGGGTGTGGGTGTGGGTGTGGGTGGGTGTGGGGTGTGGGTGTGGGTG